TACCTTCCAAATATCTCGTTGATATATCAATTAACAAAAAAGTTATGCCCAAAAATGATGCTAAAATTGTCAGGAGTGCAACACCTTTTTGTGACATTTTGAAATTTCAATATTTTTTGGAGATCTGTGAAATAAAAAACAATGCTTCATGTTGAAAATAAAGACTTTCCTGATAATATTCAAAGTATTGAGCTTTAAATGTGGACTGTCATAACTTTTGTTTAATCAAGTTGTGGTCATGGCTGATGTTTAAAAAAATGTTATACCATGTCAGGAGTGCAACAGAAAAAATGTAGTGTTGCCAAAAAAACATCAATTGTAAAATTCTGATAGAAAATTAAGACAAAAAAGGATTTTGGAAGTGTAAAATAATAACTGATATACATTTTAAAACTTAAAAATGTTATATAAATCACAAGCAGCATTAATGAGAGTCAAGTATATGTGCATACCCAAAAATGTCAGGAGTGCAACATTTGATGTTTTGCTCCCAAGCATGAAAAAACTATTATCATTATATGATTTTCTGATTTTTATTTTGGAAAATAAAGACACAAAGAACATTTTAACCAAATAGATTTATCAATTACAGGATCTGTCTGTGCTTCAGATCCATATTTCTATGGTCAGGAGTGCAACACATTTTTTTAAAGATTCAAGTTGTGTGTCAAAAAGACTTCTATTCATGCTTAGAGGTATTCGTTAATTAATAATGATCTTTTTGTATAATTTAAAGCTAAATTATTGATAGTTTTATTATTAAAATTCTTTCTTTTTCAATTTTATCAATTCAGATGTGTTTTTATCTTTTTTGTGATTTTTTTTAATGAACGTTAAAAATAAACACACTAAAACATTGTCATTAAATTCAAGTAATTCCTCCTCAACTTCACTGAAACAACAGAACAAGTTCTTATGTAATTTTCACTTCACAATTCTACTTTAAAGGCCCCAATGCTTTTGGTCAGGAGTGCAACAAATATGTTAGAATTATAAATCATCCAATAAGAATAAAAATAAAGAAAAAATGATGAGTAGAATTTTTCTGGTGGGTTACTGTGTTTGTCCTCTAAAGGAAAATATGCTTTAAAATATATTTTATCTTCTAAATATACATTTAAGCTAGTTTTTTGGGCATAAAATAGGGTATAATTCCAGATAAAATGCGAATTTTAAATACTTTCATCTGTTTTAATTATGAAGTATCGGACTATAAGTATTGCACAATTTCATTACCACTTGATGTTGCCAACACTTTATGAATTTTTGTGTTCTGTGGTTTTAATTTTAAACTTTACTGCAGTCAGGAGTGCAACAAAACTGCTTCATAATTACCGATGTTTTTTAACTACCTTTACTAAAAAATAAGTTGAAAAAAAATGCTTGATACTATTTGATGTTCAAAACACTACGTCTATCAACAAATTACAGAAATTTTACAGTCAATTCAGGGAATAGTTTTCATCATTTACATATATTTTAAATAAAATTTATATACACTTTGCAAATAATCATGTTTTAAGGTCTTCAAAATATGAAAAACCTGCTGTAAACGATGAAAAATATCAACACGACAAATTGATTTACAAAGTGAGAATGGGTTATTGTGTGTTATAATTTTTAAAACAATGTTAAATAAAATACATATCAGATGTCAGGAGTGCAACACAATAATGTAACATAGGGTCACTTCAATATGTAGTATTTTTTGTAAGAGAACTCGTATATAACAATTCCTTTTTGGCTTAGATTTAAAGAATTGACTTGAACGGACAAAAAAGTGTATTTTGGGGAATTTTATTGCTTCATAATTTTTTCATATTAAAACTTTTCAAACCAGAATTGAAAAAATAATTTAAAATAACAATCAAAAAGCCAATTTTTTGTCACATGTACAAGAGAAGATACTCATTCAAGGTCTAGGTTTAATCATTTATACCCCTTTTACCATTTTGAAGCATAAAAAACTATAATTTCTTGTGATTATGTATTTTAGAAAGTCTTTTAAGGTGTAATGATATTTTCTTTTTTCAAAAGAAATTTTACTAATAAAAATTCTGAAACTTTTTAATCCAATTGTCTATTCTATTGCCACTTCAAAATTTTAAACTAGAATGCATTTGCAATGTGATGATATAAGTGAAAAATATGTTATAAGTACTTGAATTTTGCCAAAAAAATTCAGTTTGGTGGTCATTTTTTTTTAATTCACCCTACTACGTTATATACAAATACGTTGTAAGCGGTGTTTTTTCCAATGAAATATATAGACACTTTGCCGGGACTACGGAATGGCTACTTTACATCCGGAGATACTTTATAAACGAGTACGTTATAAAAGAAGTTTACTGTAATTATAAGCCCAATATTGACCAAACTTGTACAAATGATACATCTTAGGATGCACACTACTTGACTTGCTTCGGATGCTGAATATGACCTACATTTTCCAGATGAGTGACCAGTATAAAATTTTTTGGAGCAGGTTTCATTTCCAAGTAACTATAAGCCCTAGGTTGAACAAACTTGTACGAATGATTACATCATAGGATGCACACTATACTTGACTTCCTTCAGATGCTGAATATGACTTACATTTTCCTTCCGGATGAGTGACCAGGTTAAAGTTTTTGAAGCAGATTTCATTTCATAGTAACTATAAGCCCGGTGTTAACCAAACTTGCATGGATGATACATCTATGGATGCACACTACTGGACTTGCTTCAGATGCTGGATATGACCTACATTTTCCAGATAAGTGACAAGGTTTAAAGATTTTTAGCAGGTCCATTACCAAGAAATTATAAGGGCTATCTGGACCAAACTTGCATGATGATGCATCATAAACACTCTCAAACTTGCTTCAGATGGTGGATTTGACTTACATTTTCTGGATGAGTGACCAGTTTAAATTTTTTAGGTAAGTCCATTCCCAAGTAACTGCAAGCCCTATTAGACTAAAATTGCATTAATGTTACATCTAGGGATGCAGACTACTAGATTATTAGTTTAGTGTGGGACTTTGTCTTACTTAAAGACAACATTTGTTGAGGTGAGCTCTGTTATCTCTTATTACCTATGATTATCAAGTATTTGTGGTGCACACACAATTTTTTCTTGATTTTTCTTGATTTAGCCACACTGCTAGTGTGTGTGATATTTACATATAGACCATAACGGAGTAAATTTTTAAAATTCAATAAATGATAATTTAAGAGTGTCATCAGTATGCACACTTCCTGTATATAGCTGCAGAGCCCAGTCAAATGTTGCATTTTATTTATTACATATTATTATGCTTCCTATCAGTTTGTCTCTATATAATCAATACCCAACTGTTTTCACATAGTGTTCTAAGGAATAATATATCTTAAGCATACTATGCCGAAATAGCTAGTGCATGGCTTCTTTTTCTGAAGAAAATCCAACAGCGCCCATGCCGTGGATCGAACTCACGACCCCGAGATCGTCTGTCTGAATCGCTACCGATTACGCCACAGACGCCATTATTTAAAGCACTGTATCATAATATATATAAACTTAGTTTCAAATATTTTACACTTAAAGAAAAAAAATAAACAAAATATTTTTTCTAAAATAATTTCTTGCAATTTTTTCCTCTTCACTCAACTAAAATTCTCTGAAACTACATGTATCTGTACATGGAACATTCAAAATTAAAGAAAAAAGATTATGATGTACATGTAGCACAACATGACGTCATAATAGTGGTGTACTAACATGAATATAAGAGGTGAAGAAACATTGGAAATGGATTAAAAATATTGTCGTTTTTATACAGCAGTCAGCATAATAATAACAATAGTGTTGTACTTTGCATGCACTATGCCTAAAAAGTAGTCAGGGTTTGACACATAGTGCACTAGCCTCCGGCTCGTGCACCAGGTGTCAAACCCTGACTACTATTTAGGCATAGTGCATGCAAAGTACAACACTATTATATAATCATGTCATGAATAGAGATATGCTATTTTCATCAAATAACAGTAACAGTAGTTTTCCACTTCTTGTTCTGTCTTTCAAATTGTACTCTTCTTTGAAAAATCATATATACCAATTTCAAATCAATGACCTAAATATATTCTAATGATTTTTAGATGTTTGAATAATTAGTTTGTCTCTGACATCGTTTCAACCATATTTTAGATAATACATAATTTTATGATTGGACGCTGTTCCATACAGATGGCCGACGTCGCTTTTTCTGTCAACTTTTGAAACATATTTGTTGCAATTTTTTCTTAAGGTCAAGAATTAGTAAACGAAAGGTGCCTACAATTTCTTTGAAAAATAGAATCCTTTAGTGACTATAACTTGGTCAAAAAAGGTGTATTGGGGCATAACTTTTAGGTAAACAAGATTTTAAAAAAATCATATTTTAAGCTGTTATTTTCAATGAAAAGAAAACCTGTCATGAATAGGGGAGTTTTTTCCATGTCAGACAAAGGAAATGTATCCAGATTGCCTGTACTGTAAACTGTAATTTGTATGTTCTTAGCCTTTGAGGTAAAAGTTCAATTTAATATGTACCATATAGCTAACTCAGACAATCAGTCACCAAAATATTTGTCTATGAATGACAGGAAAGTTCTTGAATTTCTCTGCCATTGACATTAGGTGTGTAACAGGAAAATGCAATAAGCAAGAACAGGATTTGAACCCAGCCCTCTGAATCACTAATCAGGTGCTTTAGCATGTTTATTAACTGAGCGATCTGGTGATGGGGATCAAGCCTGCCTGATCACCATATTCCTCCTTCCTTAAATTGTATTTGTCCTTGAAGATAAAAACTCAAGTTCTTTTTACCCCTGGAAAGCCTTTTACCTGCAAGTCGAGGGGTGATCAGTGGCACCAAATAAATATGGGATGGGACCAAACCAGGATTTGAACCTAGGTCCCCTGAATCACTAGTGTAAGTTTCTTTTTAAAAGGAATAACATTTTAATACACATAGTAAATTAGAATTTAATTTTTTCAGGAAATGGATAAAAAAGTATGTATGTGTCGAGCAACTACAGCCACCTGATAGAAGGGTAAATTAGAAAGTTCAGATTACATTATGCCAACAGAGATGATAGAGATGATAAAAATGCCAACCAAGCTAAAAGTTGTCCAGGTTAGAATCATTTTTTTTTCAATAAATTATGTACATTTAATATTATGTACATTTAATATTATCATATCAACTTAAATGTATGATGGTTGTTATTTTTTTATATACCTGTTGTGTAGGAAAACTTTTGTATTGGAGCAAGACAAGTTAATGACTTAATGATAGACTCACTGCAGAGAGAGATGTTGGAAAAGTGGATTTTATTAACAAAAGGAAGATAAGGTAAAATATGAAAGGAGTTGTGAGTTTTGTATGACACAGTATTATTTGTTAACCAAAAAAAATAATCTGAAAAATCTTGAGAAATTTAACTAAAGAAAACTTCATGAAAAGGAGCACATGCACATAAGGGGAAGCAACTTAAAATACCTATTGAAAATTATCTTGCAGCTGTTCTCGGGTCAAAAAGTGTTTTAGGATTAATAACTTGTATGCATATATACAAGGAAAATCTACATAAGAGAAGAAAGGGGGTGCATCTAGATAAACAATTTTATTTCTCTATGTTAAATAGCTGACATTGACTGTGTGCTTGATTTGAAAAAATACGTACATATGGTGAGGTAACTTCAACTAAATGTTAACATCTACTTTAGTTCATCGAAACTTGTGGACAGGATCATATGATCCTGCGTGTACTATTTAAGCCTTGATAGATGCTTAATTCAGCTTTGACAACTGAGTGTGTTGAACATCATTATCAAGATTCCATTCATTTAAGATTTTATGTCGGTTAAGAAATGTGTCATTTAGGGAGATTTGTTTTTTATACATATACGTAAGTTATTTTGTAATTATTTTATAGCAGAGTAATTTTTTCAATTATGATTGTTCTAATTTTTAGAGATTAATAGAGATTTTTCTTTTTTCTTTTTTTTCTTTTTTTACAGATCCAGGCTACCAACCTCTGAGAGAAACACTTCAAAAAAGAGCATTAAAATTCAAGACATTCAGTTACAGTACTCTATAAATATTATAAAGTAAAAGTTATTTATTTAATTTGGAAAAGCATTTGAGAAAAGAAGATGTGAAAAAGACTTTGTCCATTTCAAGCTATCTGTTGTCAAGTACCAGGCATATGTGGATTTTATTCAACAACTTTATTATGAATTTGAGAAGCAACTTTCAATATCTGGAAGCATTTTTATTAGTAGGAATGTAGATGTTAAATTATATAAAAATTATTTTTTAAAAGATATTTGTCAAGAAAATTTTTGTAGATTAATAACAGGTAAAATATGTAATGAGAGATCTTTTATTGATCATTTGCAGTAGTAAGCGACACTTGTTATAATTATACCCCCACTCAGAAGGAGAGGGGGTATACTGTTTTACCCTTGTGTGTCTGTCTGTGTGTCTGTCCGTAACAGTTTTTCATCGCAGTTTTCTCAGCAACTACTCATCAAAGATGCTTGAAATTTTAACACTTCTCTTCGACTAGGCATGCCATATTGTGGGATTCATGAGAGTGTATATTCACATCAGAGCGGGGGTATTACTAGTGAGCATTGGCTCATAGACTTCCTGTTTGCTGAAGTTTGTGTTTGACTTTCATATCTTTAACATGATGTGGCTTAAGGACATGCACAGTATAGTTTGAACTATATTTTCTTATTCTCTCTATAATTTAAGAAATCCAGTAATTGAAAGATCTTTGTGCAATTTTATGATACCTGGTAATGCTTGCACACCTTATCTGAATCAAATTTTGAGGAAATACCACATAAAACATTTTTTTTTTTGCGAGGGGGGGGGGGATTTTTTTTTCTTTGAAAAAATGCAAGGGTTTTCATCATTTGATATTTTTTTCAAAACTCCTGATACATGTAATGTATGCTGATTTTTTTGTCAAAGAAGATCTAATGGTATCATGATTTTAAATTATATTTTCTCTGAAAATTATCAGTTGGAAGGTTCACTGTAAAGTGCATGTACATTGCATATGACCTTAAAAATACTGTGGTGGCAAAAGACAAGAAAAAAAAAATCTTCAATATTTTTCAATTTTGGTACATGTACTATATTTTTATTTCATTAACCTGTCAATTTTAGATCAAAGGAATAAAGGTTAAAAACTATTATTTGACTCTTTGTTTTCAAGTTTTCTAGAGCAGGCCGGTAGCAACAGTTTCAAAAGAAAAAAAAAAACCAAACTGACCAAAAGTGGGGGGGGGGGGACTTCCCGAAATTATCTGACAAGCAAAAAAGAAAAGGCGATTCACTCTCCAAATCCTGGAATTTGCCAGTGCTCGACCTTACAACATCAAAAAGTGGGGGGGGGGGGATCCAGCATCTGAAGGGAAATTTACTATAGCAAAATACTATACCCCCCCCCCTCCCGCATTCTACGGGCCTGCTAGAGACATCTAATAGTCTATTTTAATCAACATTTGAATGCAAATTTCAAATAGTTTATCAACTAATATAGATAGATGTATGTTGGAAAGGACCAAGAGAATTTTGTAATTATATACATGTACATACAGCTGACCATATGGTCTGAAGTTGACATTAAAAATTGCAAAGTTGTAGAGTAAAATCAAAATTTGTGCCACAGATTTTGTGATAACAGTGGCATTTTTCTTTAAAAAAAAATTTATGAGTTCAAGTGAGCTTTTATGATTTTTATCTCACCTGAGCTGAAAGCTCAAGTGAGCTATTATGATCACCTGTTGTCCAGTGTCTGCCCATCTGACTATCCACTTGTCTGTAAACTTTTCACATTCGACTTCTCAGGATCCGCAAGGCCATTTTTAACCAAGTAGCTACAAAGCATCCCTGGGTAAAGGGAATATTAAATTTTTAAAACGAAGAGCCAAGCCTTATGCTTCCAAAGAGGAGTAATCAAGAAAAGGCTTTTATTAGAGATGTTTCTGAATATGAAACGAATTTGAGTCGGAGGGATATCGATCCCGATTTGACAATGAACACATGTGTGATTACAGATTTCTTTTCTTTTATATATCAATCTGTAACTTGTATAAAAGGTTTAATGAATTTGTGACCCCCCCCCCCCTTCAATAAAAAAACAGCTCCATAAAATCCAGGGAGTAATAAGTCCATGATTTAAATCGTATATATCTGTACATTACCTGTAGCAATGTGGAAAATAAGAGTTAATGAAGTAAGCTAGATTTATTTTTTCTTAGGGCTAGGGAGTGTGTTTGAAATGTCAAGGATGAACCAGGAATTTTACTTAGGGCGGGGAGGGGGACATACTAATAAATTCCCACAGGGAGATAAATAATCAACCTATTTCTCCGACTCGGATATTTTTTGACAAAAAAAATCCAAACTCTACGGATGTGAAAAATCTATCTGTGTGTGGGGGCTTGTCATGCTTGTCACAATGTGTAACTCTCCTCGACCAGCTTACGAGGGGTCCGTCTGTGTTCCCAAAGGAGGGGGTGGGTGGGTTGGGGATGGGGCTGGCAAGTTTATCTTTGCTAACTATATTACATACTTGTAATTTAATAACTCTGAAAAATAGGGGGCGGGCTGGACTACTTTGACACCTTCCACCGCATGATTGCTACCGAACGGTCTCTCAGTTCAAGTCGTCGGAAAATAATTGCATAATATCAGGCCCGTAAGAACCGGGGGAGACATGGAGACCAGTCCCCCCCCCCCTTCTTTTTAATTTTGCCGTTATATACTACACAATATAATTAGATCAAAATTACGGTTATGCCCCTCATAAATAAAGTTTGTAGACTTGATTTTTGTTCAGTTGCGCCCCATTTCCATTCTGTAACTGCATAGTATAGATCAGCCATGTTACATGCATGTACATTTGTAAATTATTATACAAACTACATTATGGCAGGTGCGTAGCCAAATAAAAGTGAAGTATACGCAGAGGACGACGGGGGTGGGGTGGGGGTTAATTTCCAGTTTTCACAAATCGAAACTATATTAAAAATATTAACAAATTAGCGTGGTTTAACTATGCTACAATAAAAAGCGGAAGGGGGCAACCACCATTTCAGTGAACATTATCAATAGTCAAAAGTTAGGTTTGGAAAAGTGTAGGCAGGGAACCCCCCCCCCCTCCCCCCACGATACTACATGCCTGCTGGTGAGGGCCCAGAAGTTTCTGAGTTTTACCAAATACATGTATATCATTCATTTTCTTGTAAAATATAAATTATGTCATTTATCTTTTGTTTAGAAATAAAAGACATAATATTTATTGTTTTATTGCAAAGTTAATACTTCTACGGAAACTTAGTGTACATGTAGTTTAAGCTAAATATCTAATCGATATTTGGTATCATACTCTTTTCTATCGTTCAAAAACTTGTATACTTAATGTTAATTATTAACACAAAATACCGTATTTTAAATCATATACTACATGTAGTAGATCATGACATTCAAGGATGTGTCTGAAATTTTATTTCTCAAAGATTTTTAAAAAAAATTTCAAAAATTATCAATGTATCAAAGAACGAATACAAGTTCATGAATGCTTTATTTAAATTTGGCAATGATTTAATAAAGGACTTCAAATTTTATTATATAGTCATGATTATATAAAATTCAAAGCGCTCTTCAGCAGTATGACACAAAATAATTCGAAACCCGAATATTTGTTGGATGGTACTGAGATTTTTTCTTCGAATAACTCTCTCTTTCTCTCCCATAGATTTTATTTATTTATTCATTTATTATATTTATTTATTTAATTATTCATTTTTTTTTTACAATTATGTGTATGCACTTGCGTATAGGCAGCTGTAATTAAACAGTCACCCAGTTAAAAGAAATTTATCATAATAAATGGTTTGTGTTAAACAACAAAGAATTCGAATTAACTTGTTTTGCATTTTGTGGTAACAGCAAGACATTCGATACGGTTTGTTTAAAAGAACAAGAGACAACATAGATTTGCGGGTGAAGTTCTTACCTTGTTGACTAATTATCTTTTCAATCCATCGCAACAGATCAAAAAATAAATTTTCAGTATATTTAGTGAGAAGGACGGAAGCTGGAGTTCCCCAGGGATCTATTCTTGGACTTCAACTTTTCTTAGTTGATATACAAGACCTACCAGGTGGCCTATGGGGTACCTCTAGGATATTGGCATATGATGCATATTCTTGTCAAACACCTTTCAAAACGTGCAGAACTTAGAAAGGCTGAGCAATCACGACTTATAAATAAAGAATGGCTAAAAACTACCTGATTTAATCCCAATTAATCCCAATTACCAAACTAAAATTATTAATATTTTGCAGCAATGAAGATAAAATATATAATTGCACTTAGTGTTGAATAATCAGCAAGTCGATCCTTCTCTTGGTCACTATCATCTTAGACTTACATTCTCAAACCCTGGGGAGTGGACAACCACACTGACAGTATTATACAAAAGGCTTCCAAAAAATTGCAGTTTTTCATAAATTAAAAGGGTTACGTATCGTGACTTCTTAGCTTAAATGTATTCTAGTGCTACATTTATACATGTAAGACCGATACCACTTTTGGAGTATGCATTAGAAGCATGGAATAGCATCTCCGCAGCTGCTCTGAAAAGCCTGATAAACTTCAGCAAGAAGCTATACATATTGTAACTGGTGTTCCTGTTTATCATGCCTTGCAAGATTTCAAGTATTTTGTGCTGCCACCGTATATTATTCTTAAATTGAATCATTTAACTATTCTCTGTTAAATTTTAGTTCATTATAACCTTACAATTGAAAGAAAAAAAAATGTCCACCTAAGCCAGATTTAGTACTTACGAAAATATACACTGGTCACCTTAACTCACGTGAAGGGGTTACAAAATATTAGGGAGACCAATTTTTTTGTATATTTTTACCTACAAGTTTTCTGTAAAATTAAGCGTTAAAATGGTAATTAATAAGCTCAAGTACCAACAAAAATGCATTTGGTTTTTATATCAAAGCATAGGGGAAAAAGATAAATTTTGTCTACTTAAGCCAGATTTCATGGCATTGGTCCCCTAATCCAGAAATCAGGACTATATATATATATATATATATATATATATATATATATATATATATATATATATATATATATATATATATATATATATATACTTTTCCTTGACATTTGAATTTTTTTCATAAAACTTTTAACCTTTGCCATAACTTTTCAATGTTTGGTACTAGGGCTTTCATATTTCACAGTTATATTCCCTGAGATGAGACTTTTTCTTTGTATCTTTTGACACTGACATTGGAATTTGACTTGCATTTGAGAAACTCTAAACTTAGCCATGAGATGTCATATCGGGGCATCATTGTTTGACACACATATCTTCGTTTTGTTTTGTTATTTTGTTTCATTTTTTTTTATTTTGCAACTTCCATTAGTTTAAAAAAAATCAATCCTAATTCGAGCAAAAAAATTTGCAAGATAGAAAAAAATAATTGTCTTGTAGAGCTTTAGTTTATTATTTGTCATATATTCATATATGATATATATATCATACATCTTTATAGTAATCTTCTCTTTAGAAATAATGTGAAAGTTTCAAGTGTTTGAAGTGTCTGCTGGAATGATCAATATCAAACTTGCTGAGCTTTTGAAGCCCTCTTACCAAATGTGAATTCAATCGTGAAACCAAGTATTTGACCATCTTCTAACAAAACAATCTGTTATTGTTTAATTAATAGTGAATGTAATGGGATATCAGTGACGAAGTAATTCAAGCCCACATTTCAGAAGTTTAGGACCTTCCATAATTAGGATCTATTGGCATGTTGAAGGCA